GGAGCAGCGCTACCCGCGGAGCTCCATCGAAGATGACTTCAACTACGGCAGCAACGTGGCTTCGTCCAGCGTCCACATCCGCATGGGTAGGGAGCGGGCAGACACACGCAGCCCCCCTCCGAGCTCGCCCCCCCAGCCCCTGCTGCCTTCCCTCGCAGGGCGGTCGGAGGGGTGCCACAGCCCGCTGCTGCCAGCGGGTTCCGCTCGGGGGTTCCTCCGGTGTGGCTGACTTCAGGAGCTGAGCCGTGGTAACCGTCCTGGTTGGCCCTGGCTAAGCTTCAAGGGCAAGAGAAAGATCGGTGGCCGGCGGAAGATTTTATCATTTAAGCGTATAGGACGTAGGTCTTTTTGTCAGGCGGATTACATCCATATAGATTCAGACTTGATTTTCCCCAGTGATGTGTTTTGAAGCCCAAACATAACACACGAGATGCATAAGTGCTAAAATTTGTGCTCATAATTACAGTAATTTAACCAGAATACTGAGGGATTTGAATTTTTCCTGTAAGGTGTTAAAATACTGTACCTTCTGGTGAAACATTTGTGTGCTAAAAGGCCATGCTAGTGTCCAGGAAATAATGTTCTGCTGCTAGTATATAAGTCTCAAACGCATTGAATACCTTGAAGAAGGTGCCTAACCGGTAATCCTTAATGAAATAGTTACAGTGTTACTGGATACTTTCTGGAATAAAACCAGCATTGTGCTATGATTTTTTTCTGTAGATATTTCTGCTGGACAGGAGACCTCTTCCTATAAAAATACAGTTTTATCTTCTTTGGAAAATAAAGGATGCCATAGAAAGTACAAAAGAGGTATTGCCATTAGCAAGATTGCTGATGCCTTTAATAATGCAGGGAGAAGGCTTATGTTAGCTGGTAGGCTACTTCTAGGTTTCTTCAGTTTATTACAACAAAATAGGCCCTAGTCCCTTACGTGTTACAAATATATTTAATGTTACCTCGTGCAAGCAGATAATTCAGTTTCTCGTTGGATGTGCTCTTAAAGTTTTTAGACTGTGCTATTAAAGATTAAATTGAATCTCCCTATAAGCTTATTTCTCCTTTCAGAGCATTTTGCCTAATGGACTTGGTCTCCTTCTATTAGGAAGAAGGAATATCTATATGATGTATCTCTGTGTCCTGAACCACTCTCCGCTCCTTTATCATTCTAGAATTATGAAGTCTGTAAGCTTAATTCTGGTATTTAGACATTTTTTTACCACTCTGTATCTGTAGATACCCATCCAGTACAATTCAAGTTGCAAATGATGACAAAAGATATTTAACATAGAAGATCAATCAAATAGGTATTACTGTAGAAGTTTTTGCTTTCAAAATTTTTATGTTGGTTTCTGTCTTCCACAGAACTTCCAAGTTAATCTTTCTTCATTTAGGTCCATTAGATACCGGTAACATGATGGAGAATGTATGCTGTTAGTAATTTCTGAGTGAGATTAAGTATTTGTAGTTTATAAAATACTCCAAAGTAATTCCCTTGCAAAAGGTTTTTGTATTTATTTTGTTATCGTTGTTTTTTAAACAAGGAAGTTCATGAATAAATGTAATTTTCTGGAATTCTGTGTCAGCTCTTTAAGGAAGAACCATAGAATGGTTTGGGTTGGAAGGGACCTTAAAGACCATCTAGTTCCAGCTCCCCTGCCATGGGCCACATCCTAGCTGGTCTCGAACACCTACAGTGATGGAGCATCCACAGCTTCCCTGGACAACCTGTTGCAGTGTCTCACCTCCCTCACAGTGAAAAACTTCTTCCTTAAGTCTAGTCTAAATCTACCCTCTCACACTTTGAAGCCATTACCCCTTGTCCTATCTCTACAAGCCCTTGTAAAAAGTCCCTCCCCAGCTTTCCTGTAGCCCCTGTCAGATACTGGAAGGCTGCAGTGACGTCTCCCTGGAGCCTTCTCCAGGCTCAACAATCCCAACTCTCTCAGCCTGTCCTTGTAGGAGAGCTGTTTCAGCCCTCTGATCATCTACATGGTTTCTTATCACTTTGCTCTGTGCTTTTTTTTATTGAATAAAGAGTTTCTAAAGGTTCCTAATCAAATAGAAAACTTGTATCTGATTTACTGTTGAACTTTGTAAGTGAAACACAAAAGTTATTTCATTTTTCTTTTCCTTATTCTAGCTTTTCTACGTAAAGTCTACAGCATTCTTTCCATTCAAGTTCTTTTGACCACAGTCACATCTGCAATTTTTCTATACTCTACTGGAGTGCAGGCGTTTGTTCACGAAAGGTAAATTCTAAAATGAAATGGAGCTGTTTAGCATGTTCAGTATAGTTGATGTAGTTTGTTGCTCTGGAACACTTCAGTATTCCTAACCAGTTTTATACCCTGTGTTTTGATACTGTAATAGAAGTTTTGTAACCTGATTAAGAAATAACTTTTCTTCTCTGACATTTTTCTCCTTAGTTTAGTATTAAAATCTATTTTATTAGCAGTAAATTTTATTCTAATTAATATTTTATTAATAGTGCTTATTTTAATATTTATGCTATGAAAACCTATATGTCAGTTGCAGAACATCTCAGTTATTGACATTTCTTGTTTTATAGTCAAATTATCTACTTATGGAATCTGGAATGCTTTTTATAGGTACCTGTTCTAAAAAGCTGAGCTACTTTTACTCCTGTCTCCCTCCCCCATCTTTTTTTTTTTTTTAACCTCTCCCCACCCTGCAAAACTAGTCTGCTAACATTCCTGTGGGCTTGCTTCTTTTTGCCTCTCAGATTTTCACAAGAAAAAAAAAAAAGTCTCAAAGTCCAAACTGTGGTGGACAAACAAGGGAAAAGAACAGCTGGGGGAAGGAGTCCGCTGGATCTGGTTCCTGTTTTGCCCAAAGTGCACTTGCAGTCTGTGCTTTTACTTTCACTTCAAAGCCCAAGTCAAAAAAGGAGCATCAAACACTATAGGAAAGTTTCTGTATAAGCTGTAGTGTATGCAGCAGAGGTTGTAAGATTACAATTCTCTAATTAAATCTGATTTAAATTTAAAATAGTCCTGCTCACGTAGAACTGTTGTGACTTATTGTTTGATCTTGGGCCAGTTTTTGCTTGGAGGGCTGCTTGAATGATTTAATAATAGCAGTACTTAGGGGTCAGTACTGATTTTCTTTGGTGCAGTTAGCGCCTATGTTTGTTGCATTCAGGTAGCTATAAAAAACAGGCAAAATATTACATATACGTCAATACTGTTACTTTAGTACAGATGGATTTTCCTCTTCCTATGGGTTTGTCTCCAGGTGATGGATTCCTGGGCAATCTTTAGCTTCTCTATGAAAAAATTCTCTTGTGACTGCACTATTTTTAGCTGATTGTCTGTGGTGGCATGTTGTAGAGCAGTTTTATTGTAAAAGTTGCTGTACATTTACTTTGGATATATGATTTACTTCGGATATATATAATTTTGATTATTTTTTTGTATGGAACTTTATAGGCCTGCCTTGCTTTTGATATCTGGGTTTGGATCTTTGGCTATAATCATGGCACTGACCCTCTACAGACACCAGCATCCTGTTAATTTATACCTGCTTTTTGGATTTGTAAGTGTTCATAGAACTTCTGTTTTAATAAACGTGAGAATATCTTTAATTGTGATGAACTTCTTGAAACAAACTAGTGATGGGTAATTTCTTATATTCCTTGAAAGATGCTCTATATACTTACAAAGGCCTGAGATACTTTTTTGAGATTCTGTCCATAGGTTGTTCCTTGATAGCCTCTACATTTGGTTTCTTCCAGCATCATTTTAGGAAGTATTAGAACGTGGAATTGAGTTGAACAGGCTTTCTTTCCC